GCGATGCCCTTGTTCCTAGTAGCTTCTTGTTCCTAGTAGTAAGGCCAAGAGCCCCGATCGTAGCGTCCTTGCTCCTAGTAGCGATGCACTTGTTACTAGTAGCGATGCCCTTGTTCCTAGCTTCTTGCTACTTGTAGACTGCCGAATATGACACTGAAATCAACATGTTGGGGATCTTAGAGCCGAGTTGAGCCAACAGCACTGAGCAAGAAGCCTGGAAGGTTAAAATCTACTGGGTTTTGTTGGGATGTTTCACTGGTAGATTCTTTTGCTAGTAATTACAAGAAGCTAGTAGTAACAAGTGCCTTACTACTAGTAACAAGTGCCTTACTAGCAGTAACAAGAAGCTACTAGTAGCTTATTGTTTCTAATAGCTTCTTGTTACTACTAGTAAGGCACCTGTTACTAGAAGCGTGGCACTTGTTACTACTAGCGAGGCACTTGCCTGGGTTTTGTTGGGATGTTTCACTGGTGCAAAAGCTCGAGATTTTTGATGTCGTGATGTCTCACCCCATGCTGGACCGATGCTCACGGTTCCTTTGGACAACAACATTCAACATTCATGCCCTCCCAATCCCTCCATCTCCGACCTATGAAAACTGACACATTTCCACTTGCTCTTGAATGCTGGTCACCCCGCAACGGCGTGTGCAGCGTGGCCGCCACAGCAAGGCAGCCGAGGCTCGGCAGGGGAACTTGCCCAAGACCTCACAAGCCTGATCCAGGAGCGCCTGCTCATCCATGCCGCCGTACTTGTAGTAGCCCCACCTGAAATGGTTCTTTGACGTCCCAACAGTCCCAAAAAAGCGACACCGTAGAAGCGACACCAAACTGCACAGCGGCTGAAAAGGGCGAATCCTCATGTCAATTGGATCAGTAGGATGAACTGTTTGCAAGCCACTCAACCTGGGACCGAGGCTTTCGATGTTGAAAGGCATTGGTTTGCCATGGTTTCTGAAGTTCTTTTGGCCAACATGTGACTTCCAAGAATAGTCTAAGGCTTGAAGGATCTTGAAGGGGAGTACAGGGAGTCCAGAGTATGTTGGAGTATTGTGTATTGCATGGAAAGTGAAGCTGCTTCATATCAAGACTTCTCGGCATAGCTTACAATAAGCTGACCCTACCCCCAAAGCCGTCCCAAGGCGTGTAAAGTTGGCAGGTTTCAGTGAGCCGTCTTTGATTCAATAGCCATCAGTACAGTAACATGAGTTGGCACTGCGTACCATGAGTGAACATCAAGAAAAGTTACGGCATGTTTGGGACATGTCCAGGCAAAACCACCTGTACATCCACCTTTTATAGCTGAAAGGCGAAAGACCGAGATAGTTCCTGGGCAAACTGACACAAGCAGATCTGTCCTCAAAGAGATCTCCAGGGCACATCTGATCCAAATCCGGTGCAGGTGTGTAGGGCAGCTGCTTGTCTTGAAGCAAGGTGCGCCAAACATTGTCGTACTCATGTCCTCATCGGCAGGTGGGCTGATTGCCCGCCTTCGTTTGGCAAAACGTCGACTGAATCGTACACCAAATGAAAAGAAAGGGACCAACTCTGCTCAAAGAACACCTGGAATATGCTGGCGCCCTGGTTGAACCCCTCAGAATGACATGAGGAGACTATACTGGCAATGTCAACCCATCAAGACCAGAATTGTGGTGCACTTCTTGAATGACATGCATCCCATTCCCAGCCCCCCAAGCCCCCACCCCTTTTCACCAGAAGAGAAAAGAAACGACAGAAGCACACAAAACACACACAAGACACCGAATTCCGCACCTCTTCTTTGGACACCGATTCTCCGATGTGGTCCAAGACTCGGGAGACCGCCTCCCTTGGAAGGCCCATCGGCAGGGTGATCGACTGTTTGGGCACGATCTTCTCCTGGGAACGTCGTGCTGGGAAAAGCAGCGTGCGTTTCCTGCCGAAGGGACCGGGTGCGACTCCGTAGGAATGGATATGAATCATATGAATGGTTCCATCGCAAGTAGGTTGGAGGCCATCAAACGTAGAAAAGACCAATTTTCTCATCTTTTCATCCGGGAAATCGGGGCATCCAAAGGTTTCTGGTCTCTGATTGGTCACATCAACGTGACCCAACATATTTGTGGCAATATTTCAATAGAGAACCCCCCAACCAATATTTCTTCCACGGGTTGTTTGGGAGGTCTCCCTATATCAAAAGATGCATCACTCCAATGTCAACTCTCAGTGTGCCTCCCTTCGAATGGCAATTCAATCGTAGTGCTCCAAAATGAATGGACTAACGGTGCTGACTTCGCTTGGCCGAGCGTCATCATCCGAATCTTCGATGTGATCGAACTTCGAATAGTCCAAACTGCTCTTGGGCTTTCGGCCCTCGCTGCGCGTCGCGACATATCCTGAAAAGGAAGACGCTCTTGGGTTGAAGGCCATCGCCATTAGGGTGGAGGCCATCGCTACTAGGGCGGAGGCCATCGCTCTTAGGTTGGAGGCCATCACCACTGGGCAGAGTGCATCGCAAAGGAGTGGAAATAGATGACTTGGGTGACTTGGGTGTCCATTGGACATCGCAACTACAGTGAAGACCTGGTCGTCTCTTCTCTTTTTCCAGGATAGATGTGAGTAGGGGCTGTGACCTAGGATGACCTAGGTGTAGGTCATCTTGGCTTCCCCAACCTGGACATCAGGAGCCATCCCCATCTACAAACTCTTCAGATTTTGGAGACAGAAGCTCAAGCACGAGAGACACATATCTTGTTCTGTGAACTCTTCAAACTACTAGTAGCGATGCACTTGTTACTAGTAGCGATGCACTTGTTTCTAATAGCTTCTTGTTACTACTAGTAAG